ACACTTTTAGTATTACAGTGTTTGCACTGGAGAGAGCTGCAGGAGTCATTTAATGCAGATAAGCCTCTTCATAATTCAACAGAAAACATTTATACATAAAATCTGAATACAGTTTAAACCTTACTAGAAAACATGGCATATTATAAGAAAATGTAATTAAGAAAATTTTTAATTCTGTTGATGAGAAGAGTGGATAGGTGAAGCTACAAGAAAGTAAGTTAGTTTTGAGAGATTAAAAACCGTCTGCTCTGAATGCCATTCTGTTAATATCAAATCCTAAGCAAACATTCTTGCAGCTTTTTAAATCAGTGTTGCCCAATATAGCGGCCACTGGCCACATGGAACTCTTGAGCACTTGAATTATACCGAGTGCCACTGAGGAACTTCAGGTTTTTTAAAGTTTAATTAACTATTGATTCTTAGTTACTGGAAAACTTTTAAGTATGCCTATAATAACTTGGGTATGTGAATTTACTTTTTCAAATGTAAATTTTATGAAATCTAAACACGGAGGAAGTATTTTAGTTGAAAATTTAGAATCCAAAGTAGGAAACAGAGTCACTGTAAAATACCAAATTTTAAAGACTTACTATGAAAAAAAAAGGTAAAATCCCTCATTAATACTTTTTAAGTTGTGATTACATATTGAAATAAAATGTAGATATAAGGCATACCTTGTTTTATCGTGCTTCACTTTTTACACTTCTTAAAATTGCGGATTTGTGGCAGCCCTGTGGTCAAGCAAGTCAGTCGGCACCATTTTTCCAACAGCATTTGCTCACTTTGTGTCTCTGCCACATTTTGGTAATTCTCACAATATTACAAATGTTTTATTATTATATTGAACTGCAATCTCAATAGAACTTGAATGGATGAGGACTCACTTTTTTTTTTTAATTTTTTTTAACGTTTATTTTTGAGACAGAGGGAGACAGAGCATGAATGAGGGAGGGTCAGAGAGAGGGAGACACAGAATCGGAAACAGGCTCCAGGCTCTGAGCGGTCAGCACAGAGCCCGACATGGGGCTCGAACTCACGGAGTGTGAGATCGTGACCTGAGCCAAAGTCGGCCGCTTAACCGACTGAGCCACCCAGGCGCCCCCCTAGGACTCACTTCTTATGGATGAGCAAAGAAAGTGGTTTCTTGAGATGGAATCTACTCCTGGGGAAGATTTTTGAAATGATAAAAAAAAAAAAAAAAGACTTAAAATACCACATAAACTTAGTTGATAAAGCAGCAGCAGGATTTCAAAGATTTGACTCCAATTCTGAAGTTCCGCAGGTAAAATGCTACCAAATAGCATCACAGACTACAGAGAAATAGTTCATGAGAAAAATGCAGCAAATTTCACTGTGTTGTCTTACTTTAAGGAATTTCCCAGCCACCCCAACCTTCAGCAATCCCCATCCCGAGCAGTTAACAGCCACCAACATAGAGGCAAGAATCTCCTCCAGCAAAAATATTGTGACTCGGTGAAAGCTCAGATGATGGTTAGCATTTTTTAGCAATTAAGTATTTTTTTTTAAAGATTTTGCTTTTCAGTAATCCCTACATCCATTGTCAGGCTCGAACTCACATCCCTGAGATCAAAAGTCACTTGCTCCACTGACTGAGCCACTCAGGTGCCCCCCTAAAATATTTTTAATAAAGGTGTGTCCACTGAGTTTTAGACAATGCCATTGCATACTTAATGGAGTATAGTGTACATGCCCTGGGAAACCAGAAAATTCCTTTGACTTGCTTTATTGTCACATTCACTTTATTGTGGTCTGCAACCAGTCCCACCGCATCTCTAAGGTATGCCTGTGACTGAAGTAAAATGTTATTAAAATCAATTTCACCTGTTTCTTGTTACCTTTTGATGCCACTGGAATATTGGTAAAAGTTTAAATTTTCAAATGAAAGTATTTTTATTTCTAAAAACTTTAAAACTCTGTTATATGAGCATACACATCACAAACATTTATTGATGTCCAGAGATTATTTAAATGCCTTCTTGGAGTGGGGAGCAGGCATTTAACAAAGACCTGGCTCTGATTCTTGTGTGTCACATGGGCCTCCTAAACATTTGCCTTTGAGCCTTAACCTCTCTACACCTCAGTTTTTCTTTCTGTGCAGGGGATTAACTTCAATCCTTGCCTTCTGAGCATTCATTGTGACCATCACTAAAGCCATGTAGAAGCACTTGGATATTCTGAACCACAATATTTTATAAGATATCCTCATGTGAAGGAGATAAAATAACCCAAGCTATCGAATCTTATTTCTAGTTTTAAATGTCACTTAGAAGAAATCAGGATTGGGGTGCCTGGGTGGCTCAGTCAGTTAAGCATCTGACTTTTGATTTTGGCTCAGGTCATGATCTCAGGGTTTGTGAGATCGAGCCCTGTGGTGGGCTCTGTGCTGACAGTGCGGACAGAGCCTGCTTGGGATTCTCCGTCCGCCCCATGTGCACACGTGTACTCTCACTCTCTCAAAATAAATACACTTAAAAAAAATTAAAGGTTTATGTCTGGTACTTACAATTTTGTGATAATTTTTTCCTATGCCTTTGAAGAAAATGGTCTCAATTGGTGGTTGACTTAGCTCATCTATTTTTACTTATGTCTGTCATGAACACAACCATCCCTAAGCCAAGTCACTCCATGTGATCCATATTCACTTCTCTCCCCTACCATTCATTTATTTAGATAAAATATTATAAAGAATGGTAAGGGTTGTTTTGAAAAGGAAAATTATAGTCTCCAAAGAATGAAAAGATCGAGGGAGACTTTGCCTCAGCCATGGTGACTCAGCATGGAAACTCAGAGCCATTTCTAGGACGTCCTCAGGCTGTCCCTGGGAGTTGCCTTGTGGCCGTATGCCCAGGGGCAGTCAGCCAGCTTTGCCATGCCATGGTGTTCGGTGTTCGAAATGAGAAGTTGCCCTCCATAATAACCACATGGCAGGGAAGGAGGAGCGCTCACCAGGCAGTGCCGGACGTCATGACCTCTCCAAGATCTGCATGTGGTCAGCCGAGGGGAGGAGGGACCTCGGGGACAGCCTGCCAGGGAAGTTCCCAGGAGGCTCCATGCAAAAGTGGTCACGCAAGGTGTAGCAGTGCTTGTCCAGGGGAGTGGCCAGTTAAGGATCTCTTTGGTGGTTGATATTTTACCCTCAAAACATACAGCAGAAAGTTTGTGGACAAGTAGATTTCCTCATCAAACTGCGATTACTTACGGAGGCTTCCCCGAAGACTGCATCACCCCAGCTCTTTCCATACTCACTTTCTGTCCAAGAGAACTAAAGTAGGTGAAAACAGCAAAGTCCACAGCGGCATGTAGATATTTTAATAGGTTGATAGGGCTTGCAAAAAAGCCAAAACAAAACAACCACGTTTTTCGTCCTTTCGTGAATTAAGCTACAACAGTTTCTGAGAAGTTCAGAAGGCAGGCATTTTTTTACCCAGGCTTCTGAAGGTATTCAAATTAGTAAAGGTCTTAAAGGATATTATAAAGTGAAATGTATTTAAGAAAATGTCTGGAAAAAAAAAAAAAAGAAAATGTCTGCTATGGGGCACCTGGGTGGCTCAAACGTCCAACTTGGGTTCAGATCATGATCTCACAGTTTTTGAGTTCAAGCCCCACATCTGGCTCTGTGCTGACAGCTCAGAGCCTGGATCCTGCTTTGGATTCTGTGCCTCCCTCTCTCTCTGCCCCTCCCCCACTCATACTAACTATCTCTCTGTCTCTCTTCCTCAAAAATAAATATTAAAAAAAAAATTTGGGGGCACCTGGGTGGCTCAGTCGGTTGAGCAGCCGACTTCAGCTCAGGTCATGATCTCAAGGTCTGTGGGTTCCAGCCCCGCGTTGGGCTCTGTGCTGACAGCTCAGAGCCCTGAGCCTGTTTCAGATTCTGTGTCTCCCTCTCTCTGACCTTCCCCCGTTCATGCTCTGTCTCTGTCTCAAAAATAAATAAACGTTAAAAAAAAAAAAATTTTTTTTTTAAATTTTTTAAAGAAAATGTCTGCTATGAACAAATGCCCTGTTTCAATCAAGCCAGGTATCCTTGACCAGGCTTCTCCTCAGACATTTGATGATCCCTCCGCAAGGAGAATACAGGGGGTGCAGACCAATCAGCAGGCTCCTTCCTATTAGCGCTCTGGGCCAGTGTTTGTTGCATGTCTTTTTCCACCATTTCTTTTGCCTGAATTACTGTGATAGCCTCCTGATTGGGCTTCTAGTTTGTTCTCACAGCAGCCAGCATGACCCTTTCAAAATTTTTCAGTGGCTTTGCATCTCACTTAGAATAAAATCTAGAGTCCTTGCCATGACCTACAAGCACTCATCTGAGCTCGTCCCCTGACACCATTTGAACTCATGCCCTAGGCTCCCTCCCTCCATCCTGGCCTCCTATCTGCTATTCCAACATGCAACCCCAGCCAGACCTCTGACGCTTGGTTCTTAATGTTTTCTCTGCCTGAAAAGTTCTACCCTGAGATTTCCAGATGCCTATTCAAAAGTCACCCTAGCAAACAAGTTAGCAGCACCTGCTTTGTCATTCTCCACCTCTCTGCCGTTCTCTTCTCACAGGACCTAACACCTGTTTCGTGTCTACTTATTTATGACATGCTCGCACACATGTAACCCCAGTTTTCCCCTCCTATAGTCACTTACTTTACCTATTTTATACACTGGGGTTCCCCTCAGTCCCTAGAACCATGCCTGGCCTCCATTAAGTACTCAAAAGTATGAATGAATGAATGAATGAATGAGCACGGATGATCCCTGATTTGCAACTGATGATAGGGCAAAACATTTATTTATAGATCTGCAAACAGATCAGAGCAGAAATTTAAGCTCTGGCCCACGAACACAGCCCCAGAATGGGTTATGGGTAGGTGGAGAGGACATCGGTGTCCCAGCAGTGGGCGGTGCACAGCTGTTTGGGCAAATCAGGTGATGAAATAATGTTTGATGAGTATTTGACAATCCAAAGGAATGCACACACTTAACTTTTGAAGTTTTCCTGCTTTCTAATCCAATCTAATCAGCCAGAGTGCTGTGACCAACTCTCAGTTCAAAGGGAAGTCGGGAGTCCTAAGAAAAATAAAACCACTGCTGGTGATCACTAGAATTTCCAAGTTTCCAGATAAACAGGATTCTGGGAAGTATCCTCACTTAATTCAGGGCAAAGAGCATTTAGGGTCTGTGATCCTGCCACAATATTTTTATTTCTCTTTTTTTCAGTATTTCTCATTGTCATGAAGAAAATCCACACACATTCTAGTCTAAGTGTCTGATTGTGATAAGCTCCATGAAATAAGGACTTTTCTCAACCTTATCTTCACCAAAACTACCTGAATAAACAAAGGGTGATTATCCAAATAAAGGGTGATTATCCCAGAGTTCTGCCTCTCTCTCAGGACAGTACCTTAGCAGCAAGCACCCTTTCAGCCACTGGGCTGATGGCTGATACCACCTGGGTGAAAAGTCATGTTTCACTTTTTAAATGGGAGAAGATGGAGACTGCAGATGCCTCTTCCCCCCCCCACCCCCCACCCCCCCCGCCCTTACCTCTGACCTCAGTTGCTACCATTTTTTCCCTTACCCCACACCAGGCTCATTGGCCTTCTGCTGTTTCTCCAGTATCCTTGATTTTTTTAAGTTAGAAATATTTGTTTCTTATTATAGGGTCCTCTCATGAGAAAAGAGTGTGGAAAAAGAGGCTTCCTGGGTTTTCTCCCATTCAAAACTTTCCTCCTGGTGTAGGAGGGAAAGTTCTCCATCTACTCCTGGGAAATTAGGCTACTCTAGTTTTATTGATTATTTGCATGCAATAAGAAAAAAATCAAAACCCAACTATTAGCAGGCTATCTGTCCCTTGGTACATATGCCCAGTCCACTTGGACAGACAGACAGGTGTGGACCTCAACTGCCCATCTCCACGTGCTGCCCAGAGTTAGATGGTACATTGGAAATAAGGTGCTCCTGGTTAGGGATCAAAGCCACCCTAGCTCCTGCATGGTGCCTCCAGTGAGACTCTGAGATTCCCTCTTCAGCAAGGAGGACACTGGGTATATGTAGTAGGGCAGCCCTCTGGCCATAGGCGGGATCTGCTATAGAAGCTTGCTTACTTCTCCAAATTCTCTCTAGATTCCTTAAGGTGACAAGAGTGAATGCAAATTCTGAAATGACACACCAAGTTACACAAGGTAGAAAAAGTCATTAAGGCCACAGTCTCTCCAACTCCATGCACAGAACTCTGACCCCACCATTCCCCTCCTTTCATCCTTTGGGAGCACCTAGTCCTGCCCACCCCTTCTCCTCAGTGGCAGCTTCCAGCACCCAGAAATCTTGAGCAGCCTCGGCCTCACAGGCTGGGAGTAGCCCAATTCAGGAACTTGAGGTCATCTTCAAGCCCAAGGTTCTACCTCAAGGTCTTTGCACTTGCTTCTCTATTTACCTAGAAAGCACTTCCCTAGCCCACATTGTCAAGGCTTGCTCTTTTCCTGAAAACATGACATTCTTCGTTTTCCTTCTGTGATCATCCCATCTAAATTTCTTTTTTTTTTTTTTTAAGTTTATTTTTATTTATTTTGACAGAGGGAGAGAGCAAGCAGGGGAGGGGCAGAGAGAGAGAGAGGGAGACAGAATCCCAAGCAGGCTCCATGCTGCCAGCACAGAGTCTGATACAGGGCTCAAATTCAAGAACTGTGAGATCATGACCTGAGCCGAAGTCAAGAGTCGGATGCAACGGACTGAGCCACCTTGGCACCCCATCCCATCTAAATTTCTAAGCCCTTCCCACACACACACACACACACACACACACACACACACACACACTCCTTATCCCCTTCCCTGGTTGGTTGGGTTTTCTTCTTAGAACTTTCACCACATAATCTTTTTTTTTTTTTAATTTGGCTTATTGTCCCTGCTTCCCCCACTAAATAGCATGCTTTAGCAGAGAGAGGTTTTTGTCTGTTTTGCTCACTGCTCTATCCTTATTGTGTAGGACAATGCTTGGAGCATGCATAGCAGGTTCTCAATGAATACTTGTTAAATGCATGGAATTCTTCCAGCTGCAGGAGGGCAGGGATCCCAGGCAGTTCCTTTAACCTCTAAATCAGAACTGTGATAACATAGGCTCATGGTTGCTCCCTGGACATACAGATGCTTTTTAAAAGACCTAAAGCTAAGCTTCTCAACTCTAGCTAAGCATCACAATCCCCTGCAGAGCTTGATAAAGACTCAACTGCCCCAGCAATTGAGTGACTTTGGTGGTAACAAGATACACCAGGGACCGCTTCCTGATCAAGTCCGTTAGCGTGTTTGACTGTAAACACCAGGAAGAGACTGGCTAATGCGAGCAAAAAGGGAACCTATTCGGTGGGTGTGGACCTGGGAGACTGAGACATCTGGAGGAGCACCCCAGCTGTGGCTTCCCTTCCTCTGTCCTGGCTGTGCTTGCTTGGGCACAGGGGAGACTCTGGTTGGCCAAACTCAGGTTACACTTCCACCTGCAGCCTATCCTCAAAAAGGAAGAGGGAAGAGAAACAGAATTCAAGCCACATGATTAAAAATTTTCTAGTGCCACATTAAAAAAAGTAAAAAGTTGGGGCACCTGGGTGGCCCAGTCGGTTTAGTATCCAACTCTTGGTTTCGGCTCAGGTCATGATCCCGTGGTTGTGAGATCGAGCCCCCTCTGCCCTCTCTCAACTGAGAGAAGATTCCTCTCCTCCTTGGCTACAGACTTCATGCCGGCTGTCAGGTCATCATATCGCTCGGCCTGCTCGGCCAGAATGGCCTTCTGCAGCAGGTCATTTGAATCCATGACCGGATGTGCCATGTCCAGAGTGGGTGCGACAGATGGACAGGGGCTCAGACTCAGCAGTCTCTGGGCAGCAGTGGCCAGGCTGAGACTCTGTCCCTAGATCTCACTGTCCACAGGCTATAGCCGTGCGGCAGATACGGGGTTTCCTCCTAGGACTGTTTCAGTTGGCCTTTTGTTCACAGTTTTAATTTTCTGTACCTTTCAAATCTGGTTGAGGAAGTCCTTAGCCATTTCTTTCACATATTTCTATAGTTTTCTTACAAACAGGCCATCAAATCATTTTGTTGGGACTTGGAGATTGCATTAAGTTTACTTTAGGGACAAGTGACACTTCTACACTAATCAATCATCCTACCAGGAAGAAGATGTGTCTTTCTGTTCAAGAATTCCTTTATGCCGTTCAGTAGAGGGTCAGACAGACATCAGGTAAATCTAGCACATCTCCTGTTAAGGCTGTGCCTAAATATTTAGTGTTTCTTTTTGTTGTAGCAGACAGTATTTTTTCTACCATTGTTTGTATGTACAAAAGCTGCTTTTATAAAGTTTTGGTTTTGCTGATTTTAAAATTTCCCTTAATATGCATTGATATTTTTTAATTCAGCCTTTTTTTTGTTTTTTGTTTTGATTTGGGAGAGAGAGTTTGAGCACATGAGCCGAGGAAGGGAAGAGAGGGAGAGAATCTTAAGCAGGCTTCACACTCAGTGCAGAACCTGACATAGGCCTTGATCCCATGACCCTAGGATCATGACCTAAGCCAAAATCATGAATCAGACATTGAACCAATTGAGCCACCCAGGCGCCCCTAAAATTCAGGTTTTAATAAAAGGTGTGTATATCAGAGTTAAAGAGTCAAATTAGGGGCACCTGGGTGGCTCAGCTGGTTAGGCACCCAACTTCAGCTCAGGTCATGATCTCGAAGTTTGTGAGTTCGAGCCCTGCATCAGGCTCTGTGCTGACAGTTAGGAGCCTGCTTTGGATTCTATCTGCCTCTCCCCTGTTTGTGCTCTCTCTCTCTCTCTCTCTGAAAAATAAACGAACATTAAAAAAAAAAAAAATTAAATCCCCATTCAAAGCTAGTCATGAATGGGGCGCCTGGGTGGCGCAGTCGGTTAAGCGTCCGACTTCAGCCAGGTCACGATCTCGCTGTCCGTGAGTTCGAGCCCCGCGTCGGGCTCTGGGCTGATGGCTCGGAGCCTGGAGCCTGTTTCCGATTCTGTGTCTCCCTCTCTCTCTGACCCTCCCCCGTTCATGCTCTGTCTCTCTCTGGCCCAAAAATAAAAAAAAAATAAAATAAAAAATAAAAAAAAAAAGCTAGTCATGAAGCCCAGCGCTCTCTCCTTCCCATGCTCCAATACGCTCATCTCCTAATCCCATGCACAACCACTTAAAAACTTTTTTTTTAATTTTTTTGATGTTTATTTATTTTTGAGACATAGAGAGACAGAGCATGAGTAGGAGGGGGGCAGAGAGAGAGAGGGAGACACAGAACCTGAGGCAGGCTCCAGCCTCCAAGCCATCAGCACAGAGCCCAATGCGGGGCTCCAACTCGTCAACCACCAGATCATGATCTGAGCCACAGTTGGACACTCAACCGACTGAGCCACCCAGGCACCCCTTAAAAACTTTTAATTGATAAGCATAGCTATCTTCTAAGTAATGCAATTGTACTAGTACTGATGTCCCAGGTTTTTTGAAAATATCTCACATCTTGAGAAAATTTATGGAGCATGGTGCACATCCATATACCGCACCTAGATTCACGCCTGCTTTCTTCTCTCTCCGCTGTTTGAGTTAGTTGCAGACATCATGGCACTTATCTATATAATGATTACACTCGGGAAACATGACCTTGATAAAACACTACTATTCGTTATATTGTTATATTGCTACTCCTTCATTTTCTTGTTTTTTTGCTTTAGCCATCATCTATTGACTTCTGAATTTAGAAGATTCAATTGTCTTTCAACTTCTCTTCCCACCAAACATACATACACTCTCACACACATCCATTCTCTCATTCTCTAATACACTCATATTGGTACCATCATTATGGAAGTACCAGTCAGAACCTTACCTCACCATGTCGCACCACAGAGATTTTTCTGCTGTTCACCTCCTCCAATCTCCTTCCTCTCAGTATGTTCAAGCAGAGAGACTTCATCTTCCTGAAGAATTTGTTCCCAGAGTCTCTGACCTGCTCAGGGCTGGGTTGGGCTTGGCTGGTTGTACTCTAAGTCAGGTGCCAGCTCTTGTCTTGATTCAACATCTCTTTTCACGACCTTTCAGAGAATCCCTCCTTTCCTTTCTTGGTTATCCCACTCTGGGGGAGAACATCTTTTAGGACCTTCTTACAAAACTTTCCTGGGAAGTAAATCTGAGAGCTGGTGTGTTTGATAATGTCTAAATGATGTCCCCTCACTTAACTGGGAGTTTGGCTGGCTTTAGAATCCTAGGCTAGGAAATCACTTTTCCCTTAGATTTTTGAAGGCATCACCCCTTTGTCTTTTTTTAGTGTTATTGAGAAATCCAGTGCTATTCTGATTCTTGCTCCTTTCTAAGAAATGTTCTTTCCTTCTCCTGCAATACCCTGGATGTTTATAAGAACTTGTTTCCTATCGTAAAATTTCACAATGATGTGCATTTGTAAGGGTTTATTTTCATCTGTTAGACTGGATACTCAGTGGCACACTCTTCCTTTCTGGGGACACTTTTGAGTTTTTTATTTTGTCCTCCACCCACCTTACTCAGCTCAAGCTGCTATAACAAAATACCATAAACTGGGTGGCTTAATTTTCAGTTTTGGAAGCTGGAAGTCTAAGATCAAGGGATCAGCAGATTCAGCAGTGAGGGAGGACCCTGCTTCTGGTTTCCAGATGCTGCTTTCTCACTGTGTTCTCACGTGGCAGAAAGAGCTCCAGGGAGCTCTCTGGGGTCCCTTTATAAGGTCACCACCTTCAAGACCTTGTCCTTTGGAGACCTTTGGAGACAAAGGCACCACCTCCTCATACCATTACTTTGGGGGTTAGGATTTCATCATAGGAATTTTGGTGGGACACAAATCTCCTTTTTAAAACTACTATTGCTTTCTGGGTTTTTTTTTTTTTTGATAATGGGCCTCCTGGACTGGCCATCCCCTACTTTAACTTTGTGTCCTTTATTTCCATCTGTTTCTGCTTATTCTGCTTCTTAAGGAAATTTCTGCAACATTATCTCTCAGGGGCTTCCATTGTTTCTCATTTCTGCTGTTTGGGTTTTTGGTTTTTTGTTGTTGTTGTTGTTGTTGTTGTTTTTTGTAACACAGGATTTTCTCTGGGAAAAAAATGTTTTTTACAGTGGCTTCCTTTTGTTTATCTCTAAGGGTATTAAATATGATAGCTTTCTTTTCCAATGTTCTCTTCTTTCTCCACTGTTTTCTCCAAATTACCTTTTTCTTTCCTGTTTTGGCCTCACTCCTGCTTAAAATCCTGCCTCGGGGGATGTACTTATTGGCACTTAATCTAAGGTCTGACCAAGCTGAGCCCCTTAAGAGTGAAGGGTGTGGTGTCTACAGCTCTGTGGCACCTGATAACGTTTCCTGCTCTAAACACAGGAGGTACATAAATATTCTGAACTCATCTTGATCATTTCAGGGTTGACAACGATGTCTGTCTGGACAACTCCCACATTTAAAGCCAGGAAAGACGCTCCCATTTCCTGTCTTGGAAATTGGATAAATGTACATGGAGGGCTGTTCTCAGTCCTGCAAAATATTTAAGGGTGAGAGTGGGGTTTGAGCTTAAGCTCTAATTCTCCAAATTTATGCATAACTAGGTATTTGCAGAATTACTTGCTTATGACTTTTCTTTTTAAAGACAAATGACTCATTCCTTCACTGACTCAAGTCACATTTTCATAAAATTTTCCCTGAAATAAAGAAAGTGAGGGCATGGGGTTCTTCTTTTCCTGCTCACAGACATCACCACTTGGCAAGGGCCAGGGAGTGAGGCGAACGTTCCTCGCAGACTAGAGAATAACTGAAAACTCTTCACACCCAGTAACCACATAATCTTGTTAGACAAACCATATACCTTTTCAATGTTAAAAAAAAATGTAAGCTTAAACATTGATTCTTATTTGTATAAGGAACTGAGACTTCCATTAACAATTCTGGTACTTTCTCTTCTCTTACTAAATTATTTCCCTAAATTGGGGCTTTGTAAAAATGATGAAAATGTACACATCTTTGGTAAGCTTGGTGGAAAAACAAACTTTTTATTTTTTAAAATACGGTGTTTTTTAAAAAAATTTTTTAGTGTTCATTTATTTTTGAGAGAGAGACAGAGTGTGAGTTGGGGAGGGGCAGAAAGAGAGGGAGACACAGAATCAGAAGCAAGCTCTGGGCTGTGAGCTGTCAGTACGGAGCCCGACCTGGGGTTCACACACACGAACCGTGAGATCATGACCTGAAGTTGGACCCTTAACTAACTGAGCCACCCAGGCGCCCCGAGAAACAAACTTTTTAAACTGGCCACCCCTACTTACTGTATTTATGGGGCCCTGGATCCCACAGTAAACTGGCCTCGCCTTTTATTCCTTCAATCTGGACGTTAGTGGACGATCAACTTCAGATGTGAAGTTTTTTTGCTTTAAATGCTGAGTAACATATTAAACACACGTAGTAAAAAACTAGTAATAGGAAAGCGCTGATGACTAGGATAGATTCCATAGTAGAGGACAAAGACAGTCTGTGTCATGATAAACCCAGTTACTTGTAAGAAACAATATCATACATAATTCTTAGAAGCTATCCAGCTCTGGGCTTTTTATCCGGGGTTAGAGTGGGACTGAGTTCTCTAATATTTAAAAAATATGTCCTTTTGTACATTTTTGTAAAGAGGGCTTATATTACCTTTCACTAGATTCCTAACAGTGAAATATCTCCTGACGGACCAACCCAGGCAATTTAGAGAGGAAACTGATGCCCAGGGTCAGAAATCTAACTAGGGCAGATTGGGTCTGCCAAGCTGGTGTTTTCTCCCACCACCACCACCCCATCTAAGAGGCTGGCACTATATCAGGTGTTTACATCCATTATCTCTTAGCTACAGAACAGCACTGTAAGGGAAGTGTTAAGGATGAGAGATCACACAGTGAGGGCCAGGACTGCAGCCTAGATGGCCCTGATGTGGTTCTGGATTGGTGAGGGGGGAGGGGGAGGTTTAGAGCTGATGGCCAAGAAAGAATTCTTGAGGCGTCTTTGGTGCAAAAAAGGTGATTTTATTAAAGGACAGGGACAGGACCCGTGGGCAGAAGGAGCTGCACCGGGGTAGTAAAGAGTACCTGGTTATATCCAATGGAGTTGGAGGGGATGGGGGGGGGGGGGTAAAAGACAAAAGGCAGGCTTCTAGAAGGACTTTGATATGCTAAAGAGGACTCTTAGGATACCCGAGGCGTTGCTATTGTCAAGCTAAGGTTGTTTTTCCTCTAGTGTCGCATTAACATTAGGATCAGTAGGGAGTTCCTGGAGAAATGTCAGACTCTGTATTTGACTCAAGTATTTGTCAATGGGCTGCAGGTTATAAAGAAATTTAATTTTATCTGCCATTTCCTTCTTGCCTTTGTTCCCTACATCATTGTGGAGGAGAGGGTGATATTAGGGCTCCAGGAAGCTGAGTCTGTAAGTTTCTGGAGATTAGGCTGTTGATAAGATTGCCTTTTTCTTGTAATTTACTAAGATATTTGTGAACTGATGGAGACTCCTGTCCTGCAGGACTCTGAACTCTATCAGCTAACCATCTGTTTTTCCCTTTCCTTTGTTCTTGGGCAGCCAAGAGTACCTGAGGAATGTCACATATATTCCCCCCTTTTGGGGGGACTGGGGTGTGCTAGCCTGTAGTTTGCCCTCAGCTTGCCTTATGCTCTCTCATCAATATGACAATGAGATTGGCTTGACTGTGTAATGGTCAGTATTTCAGTTCACAAACAACTCTTCATTCCACTCTGTTGTCCGGCATTCTTCTCAACTTGGAAGCAAATTTTTAAGTCATTCTCTAGGTCTGGCCTCTTGGACCTCATCTGCTGGCAAACGAGCCACGGCTCAGGGACAAATGTATTTTTACTGTGGGAAACCGATGATCTTGCCGACTGAAAACTGTAGCACAGCATCTCTGATATGGGAGCCACGGTAGCTGCTTTTTAGTTAGGGCTTCCCTAGCAACAGAACTACTTCCAAAAACTAATAAAAAAATTACAAATGATTTTATGTAGACCTTAAAGTCGTTGGAATTTGTTTTACCCCATTCCTGATCCTAAATAGAATGAGAAAAATTGTTATTTATAATTGCTGACTTGGGTACTTACGATTATTACCACCATCGATATGCCTCATGGTTCCCAGAGTCCTTTCACAGACATATTTTCAGTCCTCACGATGGGTTAAGAATTATCAACATTATTTTATAGATAAGTAAACAAGCTCAAAGGAGTCTTTGCATTCTGTGCTCACACTTCCTCTGGTCAAAGGTAAGTGCTATATACTTTTTTAGTAATTTCTGCACCCAATGTGGGGCTCGAACTCATGACCCTGAGACAAGAGTCACATGTTCTAGACACTGAGCCAGCCAGGTGCCCCGAAGTGTTTATACCATATAGGAGGCCATGTGTTCCTGAAAACTCAAGTAGGCCATTAAATTCCTAGTCAATAGGTTGCCAGAAATAGACTAAGTTTACCTGTATTTTTTTTCCAGTGCGCCTGGGTGGCTCAGTTTGTTGAGCCTCCGGCTCTTGATTTCTGCTCACATCATGATCCCTGGGTCGTGGGATTGAGCCCTGCGTTGGGCTCCACGCTGAGCATGGAGACTGCATGGGATTGTCTCTCCTTCTGCCACTCCACCGCCCCCACATGGGCATGTGTGCTCTCTATAAATAAATAAATAAATAAGTAAATAAATAAATAAATATTTATTAGTAAAGCCTAGGTATTTAGGGACATTCCATCATATAATGGAATTTAAGATCAGAAAAGGGAATCCCAGAATTTCTGGACTGAAAGGGATTCTCCAGCCACCTGGTGATAATCCTCAGGTTTACTAAAAGGGCTCATTCCCTGTGTATTTCCCTGATTAGTGACTCAGCACATTTTTGTGTATGTATTGGCCATTTCTATGCCTTGCTTGGAGAAATGTCTATTTCAGACCTTTGCCCATTTTAAAATCAAGTTGTTCATGGTGGCATTATTTGCAATAGCTAAAATATGGAAACCTAAACGTCCATTGATAGAGAGATGGATGAAGAAAATGTGGCATGTGCATACAAGGGATTATTATTCAGCTTCTTAAAAAGGAAGGAAATTCTGACATATGCTATATGAACAAATCTTAAAGATACTATGCTAAATGAAATAAGCCATTCACAAAAATTTAAACACTATATGATGCCACTTGAGATACTTAGAATAGTCAAACTCGGGGCATCTGGGCAGCTCAGTCGGTTAAGCGTCTGACTTCAGCTCAGGTCATGATCTTGAGCTCTGTGGGTTCGTGCTCCGCGTTCGGCTCTGTGCTGACAGCTCAGAGCCTGGAGCCTGCTTCTGATTCTGTGTCTCCCTCTCTTTCTGCCCCTCCCCCACCTCTCAAAAATAAACATTAAAAAAAATGTTTTTTAAAGAATAGTCAAACTCACAGAGACAGAAAGTAGAATGGTGGTTGCCAGGGGCTAGGGGGAGGAGGAATTATCAGTTAATGAGTATAAACTTCCAGTTTTAGAAGGTGATAAGAGTTCTGGAGATGGATGGTGGTTTGTTTTACCCCATTCCTGATCCTAAATAGAATGAGAAAAATTGTTATTTATAATTGCTGACTTGGGTACTTACGATTATTACCACCATCGATTGCACATTATCAATATAGCTAATAATACTTATCTGTATACTTAAAATGGTTAAGATAGTAAGTTTTATGTTATGTGTACTCTACCACATTAAGGGGGGAAAAAAAAGAAAGAAAAGGGGACTCAAGGAACCAGGCTGAAGAAGCTTCCACTGGCAAAGACAGGACATTTACAACTTCAATAAAGATATAGGCATACCTTGGAGATATTATGGGGTTCAGTCCCAGAGCACTGCAATAAAGTGAACATCACAACAAAATGAGTCAAATGAATTTTTTGGTTTCCTAGTGTATATAAAAATTATGTTTACATTATACTATATATAACATATATAGTATAACATATATATAACATAACATATATAGTATATATAACAATATATAGTATATATAGTATATATATAACATATATATACTATATATAACATATATAGTATATATAACATATATAGTATAACATATATAGTATAAAACATATATAACATATATAACATATATAGTATAACATATACTATATATAACATATATAGTATAACATATACTATATATAACATATATAGTATAGTATATATAACATAAACATATATATACTATATATAACATATATATACTATATATAACATATATCGTATAACATATATACTATATATAACATATATAATATATATAACATATATAGTATAACATATATATAGTAATATATAATAATAAACTGTAATATCAAGTTTGCAACAGCATTATGTAAAAATAAATTTACATACCTTAATTAAGAAATATCTTATTGCTGGGGCACCTGGGTGGCTCAGTCCGTTAAGCGTCCAAATTTGGCCCATGTCATGATCCTGCCCTTCGTGGGTTCAGAGCCCCACGTCGGGCTCTGTGCTGACAACTAGGAGCCTGGAGCCTGCTACAGATTCTGTGTGTGTGTGTGTGTGTATCTCTCTCTCTGCCCCTCCCCTGCTTGCACTCTATCTCCTAAAAATATATATAAAACGTTAAAAAAATTAAAAAAAAAGAAATACCTCATTGCTGAAAAGTACTAACCATTATCTGAGCTTTCAGCAAGTTGTACTCTTTTCGCTGGTGGGGGGCTATGCCTCAATGTTGATGGCTGCTGACTGATCGGGGTGGTATAGCTGAAGGCTGGGGTGACTGTGCTAACTCTTAAAATAAGACACAATGGGGGTGCCTGGGTGGCTTGGTCCGTTAAGCGGCCGATTTCAGCTCAGGTCATGATCTTGTGGTTCACAAGTTTCAGCCCCATGTTAGGCTCTGGGCTGACAGCTCAGAGCCTGGAACCTGCTTCAGATTCTGTGTCTCCATTTCTCTCTGCCCCTCCCCTGCTCACACTGTCTCTCTTTCTCTCAAAAATAAATGTAAAAACAATTAAAAAAAAAAAAAAAGGACAATGAACTTCGCCACATTGGTTGACTCTTCCTTCCACAAACGATTTCTCTACAGCACGAGATGTTGTTTGACGGTAGTTTACCTGTAGTAGAACTTCCCTCAAAATTAGTCAATGCTCTCAAACATTGCTGCTGCTTCATCAACTAAATTTATGAAATATTCTAAATCCTTTGTTGTCATTTGAACAATGTTCACAGCATCTTCACCAGCAGATTAATCTCAACAAAACTACTTTCTTTACTCATCCTTAAGAAGCAAGTCCTCATCCATTCAAGTTCATCATGAGACGCAACAAGTCAGTCACATCTTCGGGTTTCACTTCAAATTCTAGCTCTCTGGCTCTTTCTACCACATCAGCAGTTACTTCTCCCACCAAAGTCATGAACCCCTCAGTCATCCATGAGTGCTGGAATCAACTTCTTTCACTCTTGTTGATGCTGATTTTGACCTTTCCCCGGGAATTGTAAGTGTTCTTAATGGCATCTAGAATGGTAAATCCTTTTCAGAACGTTTTTAATTTACTTTTCCCAGATCCATCAGAGGAATCACTATCTATGGCAGCTAGAGCCTTAAAAAATGTATTTCCTTTTGTTTAAAATTTATTTTTTTGAGAGACAGAGAGAGAGAGAGAGAGAGAGAGACAGAATGTGGGCTGGGGAGGGGCAAAGAGAGAGAGGGAGAGAGAGAATCCCAACCAGGCTACACGCTGTCAACTCAGAGCCTAATGCGGGGCTCAATCCCATAAACCATATCATAACCTGAGCCCAAATCAACAGTCGAAAGCTTAACTGACTGAGCCACCCAGGCTCCCCACAAAATAAATGTATTTCTTAAATAATCAGACTTGAAAGTCAAAATTACTCCATGACCCACAGGCTGCAAAATGAATGTTGTGTTAGCAGGCATGAAAACATTAATCTCATTGTCTATCTCCACCAGAGATCTTGGATGAACAGATGCATTGTCAATGAGCAGTAATACTTTGAAGGAAATCTTTTTTTCTGAGCAGGAGGTCTCGACAGTGGGCTTAAAATATTCAGTAAACCATTTTGCAAACAGATGTGCTGCCATCCAGATCTTATTTCATTTACAGACCACAGAGAAGATTTATCGTAATTCTTAAGGGCTTTCCAAATGGTAAATGAGCATTGGCTTCAACTTAAAAGCCACCAGCTGCACTGGTCCCTAACCGACTCAGCCTGTCTTTTGGAGCTCTGAAGCCAGGCATTGACTTCTGTCTATAAAGTCCTACATGGCCTCGTCTTCCAACATAAGGCTGTTTTGCCTACATTCGAAATCTGTTGCTTAGTGCAGCCATTCGCGGTCTCAGCCATACCTTCTGGGTCACTGGCTGCAGCTGCTCCATCGGCACCTGCTTCACCTTGTTACGGAGACGGCCTCTTCCTTAAACCTCACGAACCAACCTTTGCTGGCTTCAAACTTTTCCTCACCTCTCAGCCCTCACAGAGTCGAAGAGTTAGGGTCTTGCTCTGGGTTAGGCTTTGGTTTAAGGGAATATTGCAGCTAGTTTGATTTTCTATCAAGACCACTAACACTTTGTCTATATCAGCAATAATGTTGTTTCTTTCTCAGCATTCATGTACTTACTGGAGCAGCACTTTTAATTTCAAGAACTTTCCTTTGCAGTCACAATTTGGCTAACTGTGGTGCCAGAGGTCTAACTTTCCACCCATCTCAGATTTCATCATGCCTTCCTCACTAAGCTTAATCATTTCTAATTCCTAACTGAAAGTGAGAGACATGTGACTATTCTTTTCACTTGAACACTTAGAGGCCACAGTGGGTTATTAACTGGCCTAATTTTAATAAAGCTGTGTCTCAGGGAATTGGGAGGCCCCAGGACCGACTGGGGGAACAGCCAATCAGTGGAGCAGCCAGAACACATACATTTTATTAAGTTTGCCATCTTACATAGTAAGAGTTCATGTTTCCCCAAAAATAATTACAATAGTAACAGCAAAGATCAGTGATCACAGTTACAAAGAAATATAATAATAATAAAGTTTGAAATATTGCAATAATTACCATAATGTGACAGAGACATAAAGTGAGCAAACGACACCGGAAAAATAGTGCCAAGAGTTTCTTGACACAGGGTTGCCAAAACTCTCAATTTGGGGAAAAAATAAAATAAATAAATAAATAAATAAATAAATAAATAAATAAATATGCCGTATCTGTGAAGCATAATAAAGCAAAGTACAATGAAACAAGGTATGTCTATAACAGCAAAGGATTGAAGAACAGCAAATATGTTTAAATCTATGATACTAAAAAATGCTTCAATAATGGTGTTAGTAAAAAAAACAAACAAAATTGGTCACCTTCAGAAGATGACAGGGAACAGATTCATTATCTTGAAAGCTGATGAGTAAAGGAAATGAATTAAGCCTTCATCCTGCCTTTCCCATATGACGTGTGCCACTGGATGACAAAGCACATAAAGGAAAGCATTTTTTTTTTTG